TAGTAGGCAATTAAGAGTGACCTGTCCCTGACTGGTACTTGGAAGATGTTGGAACTGGCAAGGAACAAGGATGTCGGAACTGGAAAGAGGATGTCAATAAGAAAATCAGATAGACCTTTCACCTGATGTAACCGCAAGGCAAACACAGATGTGCTTGGCTAATTGCTTGGAAGCATATAAATATCGTGTAATCTGTTCAATAAACGATCCAGCTTGCACTCTACCTCTGGGTCTGTGCCTCCATCTGGTGATATTTTCTAAAAAACAGTTCCTTTAGCATACATGAAGTTAAAAACCACCATCATCTTCTTAATATCTTTAAGCAGAGATACCTTTATTTCTTAATGACTAGGCAGTATTGAAATCAGGAGCCTGCTTTACTAAGAAACCCTTCATCTCCATGACTGGCTGTCACCAGGAGCCATGGTATTGAAAAATACGTTACAGAGGAGACAGGGGTGGGCACAGCAGGCAGCAGGCCCCTGACCCTGCTCTGGGCTCTAGGACCCTCTGCGCTTCTCTGACTCACATCTAATTTGTGGGATGTGGTGGCCACATACAGTGGCCAGAGCAAAAAGATGAGGAATAGTTGGCTCATCCTTGATGGCTCATGCCCATCTCCAGGATCCCGAGGGCCTGACATGCACTGGCAGCTAGCAAGCTGAACACAAACCAAACCAGGCACCTCCTCACAGGCATGTATTCACATTGTGCCATGCAAACTGGACGTGGAAAGTGTATGTGGGTTATAATACAAGAGAAATCAATTTGTAGGCCTCAGTGCCATGTCTGGTTTAGGCTCTATGCACTTCAACTCAGCCCAGCCAGGCCTGTCTGGCCACGGGCAGGACCAGTGCAGGGTGCCACGGAAAAGGCGATCACACGTCTCCTGGTGTGTGATCTTCGCTCCCGACGCGAACACCGATTACATAAACCCCAAAGCCAAGCCGGGGAAAAGGCGAGCGTTTTGATTCTCCGTCCTGGCCAGCTCCGGTTCCTGGGGACTCGCGCCTGGGCGGGTGTATACTCCCGGCCGGTGCGTAGGCGTGGGGAACAGGAGTGCAGGCATGCCACTGGGACCCCGCGGCGGCCCCGGCAGCACTGCGCGGGGCGGGCCCGCTTCCCCGCCTGCCCCGCCGCCAATGAGGGCCAGGGCCGTCACGGCGGCGCGTCACGCGGGCGGCCGCCAAGATGGCGAAGGTGTCGGAGATGTACGACGTGACTTGGGAAGGTAACGAGGCGTCCGCCGAGGCCGCGCCCGGCCCGACCCCCAAACCCCTGGGCGCAGGGTGAAGGCGGTCAGCCCCTTCGGCCCTGCTGCGCGGCGGGGACGAGCAGGCCGCCGCCTGTTCCCGGCAGCCGGAGCCGGGCGGTGGCGGGGCCCGGGCGGGGCCGGCGGCTCCGCGGGCTGTGGGTGGCCGGGCGGCACAAGCGGAGCTGGCGGCCCGTGCTCAGCCCCGCGGTGACCGCGGCTCCGCCGGTGGTAACGTGCACAGAGCCCTGAGAGCGGAGCCGCCAGCGCCTGCCCCCATGGCTGGGGGTCCATTTCATTGCGGGATGGGGATGTCTCCACACGCACCGGTGCGGCGGGGCCCAGCAGCTGCCTCCGCTCCGTGCTGACGGAGCCCCGTTTCTCCAGAGCCCGGCGGCGGGTTCTCTCGGCCCCGCTTCCGACCCCACAATACTGATGTAGCGCCTACAAGAACACAGGGCTTCTTATTTGGTTGAGCAGTTTGTGTCAGTTCACCTCCTGAAGCGACAGAAAAATACCTGATGTTTTCCAGAAATTCCGTGGTGTGCGTTTGTGGAGGAGCTCGCAGGAGCTCTGAGCTGACATAAAAACTCCTGAAAATCCTGCTCCCCTGCTCTTTGTATCATTCACGTGTTTAATCCTAATAATTAATTATAGCAGTACATTTTTGAGGTTTACCTGACATTCGCAGTGGCTCTTTTCTCATAAGCAGTACATGTTCAAATACGAGTTCGTACAGCACTCAGGCCTACTACTGTCTCATATCAAGAACAGATTCATGCTTCTCCATAGTTTCGGCTGTAAAGGGGGAAACTTTGGCTAGGTGGTCCCACATGTTACAAACATACCGTAGAGAAGGTAATGCAGAGAGCAGCTGTATGATCTTTGTTTTTAGGTACATTGTCTATATCTATATATTTTCTGCCAGTCTGTGAAGAAATAAGTGGGAAAATAATTCCCAGATTATAGATTATTGGTTAGTTTAGGTTTGTAGTATGTGGATAGGAGGAGCAACATTGCAAGGGATGTATTTTAGCAGATGCCAGTAACTTGCCCATCAGAAACAGTGGCCATACTGGCTTTCCTGCATCTTTTTTTTGCAGGACTCTGAAGCAAGACAAAATGGAATTTCAGATATTCAGTTTTCGGGTCAAATTGCATCAATCGCAGAAAATCTTTTATCTTGTGTTGAAGAAAATAAGTGTTGTAGCTAAATGATTTAGGATGAAGAATAGGTCTTTCTTGTCAGTACGTTTTTTGGTCAGTTTACAGGTAGTTTTGCTCTGTAATCTGGTTGCATCACCATGATGTCACTTTTGAGAAAAGCTTGGTTGCTTGTTCTTGTGTATCTCTTGTGAGGAGGTACAGCGGTGGTGAAGCTCAGCTGGGGTAGAGTGCAGGTAGGCCACTGCTTGGGCAGGGAAGTTGTATGGAGTTTTTCTGGTGTTACTGTTGGGCTTTTCCAGAAGTTTCCGTAAAACAGCTTGTGTAAAGAACTTTTGTGGGTTTTATTTTGCTTGAACATACGTTTTTATAAAACCCAGAGGTTTAGTTTTTTGCTTTGTTTTTAACCTGTTGTTCTCAGGTGTCAGAGATTAGATAAATGAGTGCTTAAGTTTGCTGGTTTGGCACTTGGCTAATTCATACTGGAGTTGAACTTCCTACTCTTAGAAATAACCTAGATATTCCCTAGATATTCTATTTCCAAGAATCTTGATGGACATCTGTGGCATTGTGCTATGTGCATAGTTTCTGCATATTGAAAGAGAAATTTTTGGGGACCAGCCGGGGAGTTTTGTCATATCAACTTCTCAGTTGGTATATGCCATTTTATGTCCAAATGTAGGAGTTGGGGTGTAGGGGAAGATCTGTGTTGGTACAAGGGGCTGTGTCCGCTTTAGAAGAATGCATTTGAAAAATATTGTATTTTTTCCTCAATTTTAAGAGATGCAAAATAAAGTGAAAATGAGTGGAGTCCTGCAGTAGACCATGCAGAGACTCTTCTCAGGAGGAAGGCTTAAGTTTCTTAAGTTATGTGGATCATTAAATTAGTATTGCATTTTTTTTTTCTTCTACCTTTTAATCAAAATGAGGTATCTCTCAAACCAACGAGCCTCTCAATAAAGCCACATGAATGAGAACACTGTTCTCTGTCCTGCAGTTTTTTTTCCATCGCTGTAAATTCTGTACTTGGGTGATGAATGCTAGATGTGCGTTCTGTTAATGCATGATTCAGACACTTTTCCGTTTGGAATCACACTGGAATGGAGGCATTGATAATTTCCAAGTAAATGAGTGGGTAGAAATCAGACAGCTTGTTTATCTTTATGCATTTAGCTTGTCAGCTTTTGTGAATGTTTGTGTTCTCTCACATTCTTGCTGTCTTACTTTGGATTTCCAGGGACCATTATGTGTCTAGAACCATTTTACGTTACCCATGCATATGAAATGTAACCCTGTGGTGGTTTTGGTTGAATTTCAAAATACAAAATGTAGCACAATAACAGTCTTATGAGCAATCTGAGATCACTTCAGGTAGATGGAAGAAAGTTCAGTGCTTAATTTTTAGCTGTCAGTTATGTTAACTATGTGTTTTGAAGTGCAAGAAAAACTGACAGTGTTTAGATCTATGGTTGTGTTTGGTTTTCCAGCTGTTTTTTTTTAAAGTTTGTTAAAAAATATTCGTAATAGTTATTGTGGTACCTTCATATTAATAAAGCCACTATCTAGTAATGAAACCTATTTTCCTTAAGTTTCTTCAAAATTTATTCTTACATATGGAACATCTATCTACCTGTATATAAATGTATATGTGTATATAAAATCACATTCTTAGCAATTTCCTCATCCAGAGGATAAATAAAACCTGGGCTAGGTACTGCTCACTAGCTGACTTCATGAGTGTGAGCTGGCTCTCTTGGGTATCTGATCATAGTAAAATGTAAACTTGAAACACAAATCCTAATGCTAAAATAAACTTTTTTTTTTAATCTGACCTAGATAAACAGTGGTAACTTTTATACCTTTGGGCACTTCCCTGGTGTAGATGGCCTTTGCTTCCATGTCTGCCTTTCTTGGGGCTCCTTTCCGTAGGAGTGTGTAGATTGTGAGTGGAAGCTCACAGCATTTTGCTTACACTGATAAACATGAGCAGTGATTGAATTATCATGGTTTTAATAATACTTCAACTGTAAATTTCTTAAGTAAAATTTATCCACCTGGAGCAGAAAAGCAGTTTTAGTATTGTTTGTAAATGTGTGAAACTACTTGGGAGAAATCTCTTGTAGCCTATTTTTCCTAAGCAGGGGGAATGTCCATTAACTTTTATTGTTTATTGGATAACTAGGTATAAAGGTTTTTTACTGCATATATTAATAACCTGAGAGACCACAAACTTGGAAGTTGAATTGATATTAGAGCATGAGCACAGTTTGTGGGACACGGTTTCAGAAGTCTGGTATAGCTATCTGTTCTCTAGTAGTTTTCTAATATCAGTAGAAGTCACTTTCTTAAATCTAGTGCTCTACCTATTCTCCATATGCATATTTTCTGGAAATAAAATTAAAATTCCATTAGTGTCTGGAACTCTCAATATTTTCTTTTTATTTATTTCTCCCTTTTGCCCCAGATATGCGTGATAAAATGAGGAAATGGAGGGAAGAAAACTACCGGAACAGTGAACAGATAGTGGATGTTGGAGAAGAGTTAATTAATGAATATGCATCTAAACTTGGAGATGACAGTAAGTAAACAGTCATTGTTTTCAAAACTTCCATCATCAGATTTTGTTTTCTCTTTTTAGTCTCTATTTTGTACTTATGTGTTGCCTTTCTGTATCTGCTTATGTTGATGGAATATTTATTACTTTCCAAGTCTAATAGGCTGCCAGAATTCCTAGATTTTATTTCTTTCCCACATATGGGCGGCAGTGAAAATAGATGGAAAAACTCTTTACTATAGGCATAAAATAAGTGTAATAAAGTGCTGTCAAGATTGAATAGGTTTGCATATTAATCTTACATGGGTTTTTATTTTAATGCTCATGCTTCTTTCTTTTTTTTCCCCTTTTTTTATATTTCAGGCCATTTAATATAGATATTCTTTAATACATTTCTCTTGTTGTGCTTTACTTTTATTAACTGCTGTTACATAGTCACAAGGGGATTTTAGCAGCCACAGCAGTGCATTCTATTTACTAATAACAGTTACTGTACTCCATAGGATTATTCAGTTAGTTAACTTGGTCAGTTAGTTTAGTAAACTAACTTTAATTTCAAATCCCTAACTCCATGTTCATGGAATTAAGGTCCACATGGTTATTTCAGGAAGACTGCCTCCCTCAGGTGAGGAATCTTTCAGTATTGATTTTGGGGTTCTAAAGGTAGAATTTGTTTTGTATCATGCTTTGCTTTGGTTCTGTCTTGTACCCTCTCATCTGCAATTCTGTTCTGGACTTCTTTCCATTCTGAAGGGCTTGGCCACTGCAAATGTTGTACTTTTTTTGGATATAAATACATGGATTGTCTACCCATAGTATCATGTGTTGAAGACACCTCTGTGCGTAGCAGTGAGTCACGAAGTGCGCTTGGAGGTCCAGTGCTTGAAGCAGATACTGCACTTGTGTGGGGGTCTTGCATTGTAGCTGTGAGGAGCATGCTTGGTTTTAGACTGGGTATGCTTAATACACCCACCTACAAGAGAGTTGTAGGTTCCTACTGCTGTAGAAGAACTTTGAGAGCTAACCTTGATTTTACTTTCTTCTTACCACGTTGCTTAGTACTTTATTGAGAGTTATATTTTAGTAAGGAACTGTTGAGGAGTTTGATATTCCTCTCAGATCTTGCTGATGCCTTTTTGAAACATTGTTCTCAGTAATAAGGGCTGAGTTATTTCTTTCTTGTCAGGGTTGAGTTTGTCCTTCTTTTCAAGTGTCATGGATATATGTTATCTGTATTTTGTCTATTTGAGAAAAAATGGATACATTACATAATAAAGATAGAATACGTATTTTACAGATAGTTCCAATGAAGAGGATTGACAGGCAAATTAATGCCTGTTTTTTTTTCTTTTATATACCTAGCAAGAAATAGTATTTTCTTAAAAAAAGTAGTGAAAATTCTCATCATAGAAGCTAATGTTTTAAAAGGAGAGGGCTCTTGTTATTGCTATTTCTATATTGTACTGTATTTTTATTTTAGATTTTTGTTTTGGAGGACATTTATTTCTGTTTCATTTCTGTAACATGTTGAGTGCACCTCATTAGATTTACATGAGTTCAAAGCACTTGGTACTTCTAACACTTACATTGCGTGTTTCCCTCTACCCATAACCTTTCTTTTCAGCAGCTTGTAAAGCCATGCTGTTAAGTTCCTTATATTCAAGAGCTTGGTAGGCCTAGAACAGAAATAATGTAATATGTCATTGATTTAGAGATGTTGTTCAACTCCAGGAAGAAGACAACATTTGTGGGACTTCAGTAGTGAAACAGTTAAGGGAAATTTGTTTTCTTTGTAGCCCAAATGGCTGTTCTCCAGGTCTGATCAGAGAGCAAGTCCTAATGGGGATCTATTTAGAAGACTGCAGCTATTATGTTAGGAAAAGTAGAGAATTAGAGCCTTTTTGCCTTTCAAGATGTCAAAAAGTACTTTGTTACTAAAAGCAATAAAATTGCTTCAATGCCTTTTTAATTAATTCCAGCAGTTTCTTAGAATGTCTCTGTTTTAGTACTGATCCACAGGAGTAGAAGGGGGAAAATACACAGACAGAATTCATTAATCTTATTTACATTGTAGGTGTTTCCCATTATCTTAAAAAAAATCACTTATCTGCATGTAATGTCTCTTTTGTGTCCAGTTTGGATAATATATGAACAGGTGATGATTGCTGCCCTGGACTGCAGTCGAGATGATTTGGCATTGGTAAGTTTTCAAGTTGACTTTCTCTTCAAACCTTAAAGTTTTCCTCTGGGCGTCTCTTGCAGCTAGTTCCTTGGACAGTTACAGGATATTCTGAACTCCATAGCTTGGACTTCTAGCATATCTGTTGAGAAGTACATTGCTGGGAAGAAAGTACCACCACCTACCTCTTCTCATGTGTAAATTTTGTTTAGACGATCATGTCTCTTCCAATAGCCATGAAAATATTTACAGCTACTCCAGTATGGGCTAGATGTCATGGATAATATTGAGGTTTCCATGTTGTACAGAGAGTGTTTGTTTATTGGAAACCTCTCAAATTATATTGGGGTTTTTGAGTGTTTTGAAGTAAAAGGTCCTCTTATGCATGTCATATTATGTGTGGTATTGGCTATCATCAAAGAAAGTCCTTGACATACCAGAGCAGGTCTTCAAGATGAGTGAGGGGCTGGACTACATAATGTATAAGGAAAGGCTTGAGGGATCTGGGTTTGTTAGGTCTTGAGAAAGCTAAGAAGGAATTTGATTGCTATCTTCGGATATGTACTAATGAGAAGGTATAAAGAAGGTGGAAACAGATTTTAGTAGATTTGCAGCAAAAGATAAGTGTGAGAGACATAAGCTGCAACAATGGAAATTACAATTAGATTCTAGGAAGAGGTTTTTAACAGTGTGGTTACCTAGCGAACACTTTATGACAAATGCCCTGGCATTTCCTTTAGAGATGCTGAGAAATGGACTGGGAGGTGGCCCTGCGCTCACTTGGAAGCTGGCTCTGTTTTGAGGGGGAATTTGGAGCAGATAACCTCCAAAGGTCTGTTACAGTCCAAATTGTTCAGCGATTCTTGATAAAAAATATTGTTAATGGATATTAGGGCTTAGTTAATTTGTATGGAAATTTATTTGAATCATGCAAATAACGATTTAAATTAAATGAGTTTATTTAGAACTCGTAACACCTGTTGAGTAGATTAAAAATAAAAAAAAACACCAGAACAAACAAAAACCCCAGCTAGGTTAGCTGATCCTTTAAAGGCAGCAACTTAAAAAGGCAAAAGTGTGTTTTTCAGGAAAAATTTAATAATCTTTTCATCCCTCCTTCACTGAATGCTGGGAAAAAAAAAAACAAAACAACCAATGACCTTGTCTTGTGCCTTGAAAGCCAGCAAGCTTGAGCTTATTCTGAGTGAAAAGAAAGGTGTTTTCAGGAGTCCAGGTCTTTCATTCTTCCAGTGAGTTGCTCTGTCAGATGGCAAAAATACCCCATAAAGTCTTTGAGCTTCATGTGGTGTCATTTGGGTGAAACTTAATGGTCTGTGATATACAAAGGGTCAGCCTAGAGGATATAGTTGGGAGAAAGGCAGTTTGAAAGTAGGCAGAACTAGACAAGTTTATCTCGCATCCCACATATATATGGTAAAATGGGAGTGCGCTGGAAACTACAGCACAATGCTCTGAACTTGTCATGAACCCACTGAACTTTCTTTCCTTTGTTCCTCAGAAGAAAATACTGTTGTATAGCTGCCTGTTTAAACAAAACAAACAGACTTACTGTTTAAATAAATACTTTTCTGTGTTCTGATTTATATCTAAACCAGTTTTGGTCTTTATTTTCAGGGTCTTTTTAGGAAGACTTTCACAAAATTGTTGAGGGAGCCAGGGTTGAAAGATCAGTTGTGAGACACTTTTTTTTTTACTAACCCTGGCAGGGATTCTACATTTCAGTTTCTGTGCCCTGTAAGGGTTATTGCTTAGATGAGAGAATGCAACAGTTTATATGCAGCTCAGAAAGGAGGTTAAAAGCTTAGAGGGAAATTTAGTTTTTTGTTTTATGTTAATTTAATTTGATTGATTTATAACAAAGAAGTAGTTAATTCAGACAAGTCAACATCATATGTGGCTTTTCGCTACAGCTGTAGCCTCAAAGTAAACAAACAGCTTTGGAACTTCTGTTTTTTAGCAGTGAGTTTTTGACAGCTGTGATGCATTTTGCTTAGGGGGTTGGGTCTCATCTGCTCTGAATGAGGAATCTGAGATGGTTTTCAGAGTCATTTATCTGAATTTTTTCTTTTCTTTTCTTTCTTACTCTTGTCCTCTCTGTCCTGTACAGAATGACTGTGTATAATACATGCCCCTACTGCAGCCAGCCCATTCCACATGCTGTTCTAGTGCAGTCACCTACTGTTGGCAAGCACTTGCACTGCCAGTGTTTCACATACTGAAATCCAGGTTTATATTTCTTTGCCTTTTCAGACCTTTAAAATTTAAACCTGATGTGATTAAAAAAAAAAAAAAAACAGAAAGCAAATTGACTGCAAATTAAAGTTTCACGTACAAATGAGATTTGCCATGGTAACTGCTGAGTTTCTGAGAGAATCTCCCAAGTAGATTATTGACATAGTGCAGAATAAATCCTTAATAACATAAATGATTATAGGGATTACAAGTTAAATTTGAAAAGCGGGTATTCAGTGCTGCTGAGTCCAAAATATTTTGAAGATCTACCTCGTGTGGTTTATTCATGCACTTTTGTTTTCAGAGGTGTTACAGTGAGTTGGTTTTGACTGTCTGACAGCTTTTTATGTCACTTTTTGTGACTGATGTCTTAATCTACAGGAGTTTATTTTGGCTTTGTGGCTGCAGAGTTTGGTTGAATAATGATTGCATAATTGGATCTAATGTGAACAGTTCTGGTTTTATAGTATTCCTGCGCTTGATTGCTACTTCATCAGCTTTTTTATATTGTCAGTGGCGAATTTCTAGATGTGAAAGTCCATCTGCAGATTCTGGAGCTTAGTAGTATTGCAAATGTTACAATTTCTGACATTTCAAAGTTTTACTGTGGAAAAGCAGTAAAAGTCCATGTTTTTATACTGAAAATCACTGTCATTCATGATTCCCAGATCACTGGGCTACAGGGTGGACTTATTGTCTGCGAAAGTTCTTTTTTAAATCTAAAAGGTGGTTTGGATTGTAAAAGCTTGAGTGAAACTACTTTTCTGGAGTTTGAGATAAGATTTGCCATCTCTTAAGAATGTTCACAGATCAGTTCAGCTATCTGATGTGCTGCTAAGTACATGCAGTTTTTATGACAGGTTGTTGTCCAGTGCAGCAGCAGTTCACCTAGATGTCACTCAAAGTGCCAGTAAACTGTTCCTGTACTAAACCTGAGCCTTGCTGTGTGCTGCGGCATTGTTACAATCTTTTTCATTGCAAGTTAAAGTGATCATGATGAAAATAGTCTGTGCTTACTTGAAGCTATGCATTATTTCCTTGATTGATGTTTCCCTTCTCTCTTCCTTCTGTATTTTTCTGGATCTGGGAGAGATGTGGCTGTTTCTCTTTGCTGTGCGCTAGCAGTCTGTTTCTGTATAGAAACAGGGAACCTACTAATTTTTACTGATTTTTTTTTTTTTTCTGTATTATTCTTTTGATCAGTGGATTTGATAAGATGGAACAGATTATGTAGATGGCCTCTGCTGAAACTTTGCGTCTGAAGAGCAACTTTAGAAACTGAGTTGTATAACTAAGTGTTGGAACAGGAGGTTTCTGTGTGAAGCTTTTAATGTGATTCAAACTACTGGTCTTTTAGGGAGCCTGTGGACTGTCCTGGTTCCCATTATAATGAGTCAGCTACAGGCTCTGCAATGTTATCTAGCCACATTCACGATATGGTTAGAGTTAATTTGCTCTGGGGAAGTTGTGACTCGGTCCCTTTTTCACTAGTCCAGAGAAATCTCCCTGTGATGAATTCTTTTTATCCAGCCCAGGTGTCTCACTGATTTCAGGAGTTAAAAGCTGTGCTGCTTCTGCCAGCAGGCTCAGCCCAAGCCAGTGACAAACATTTTCTTTGGATTTCAAAGTTTTATTTTAAAAATAAATACATAGCATAGTATTAGCATAGTTTGTTCCATTGAGAGATACCCATTTATTAAAGAAGTATCACATAAGCTCTTACTATCTTTGTTTTGTTTTTCTACTGTCTTCTGTTATTATAGTAGACTAAGTAGACTTCAAGTTTTAATAGTATCAGAACTGGTTTAGTACATGAGTTTAATTTTCTAAACAGATAACTATGTCCAGGAAAGCCTGATGATCTAACAACCTGTATGGAAGCTATTTCTTAGATTTAGTCTTCTAACAGAGTTTCAGTTTCCGAGCTTCTTTTTATCAATGCATTTTAGTGATTACTTCAAAAATAGCTGTTTGATTTTACTCAGAAATACCATTTCAGGTTGTTAAATTATCAGCCAAGGACTTTTCTTTTTTTCATCCACCTTCTGTGTAGATAATTGTATTCACAATAGTATCTTGGGTTTTATTTGTACAGTTTTGTCTTCAGGAGCTAAGGCGGCAGTTTCCTGGGAGCCACAGAGTTAAGCGATTAACTGGAATGCGATTTGAAGCTATGGAAAGGTAAAACCTGAATTGAAAACACTGTGCTTTCTGTCTGGAAAGATGCTTGCTATTTCTTAAAAAGGCATTCAGGCACTATGGAAACATGGCAAATCCAGGCTGGGCAGTTTCCTTATAGAAAACAGTGGTGTGCATGATCATATTATAATGTTCAGACATTTTTGTTGCATTTTTGCATATATTGTGCAGTGTTATTTTTTGCCATCTTCCAATCAGACTTCATAAAGTGAAAAGGTCTCTTACTTGACAGTATAAGTCATTATACAATACAACACTAGGCACTTTTTTGGCGGAGTCCAGGAGGCATACATTTCATCTCACAGAGCTAGAGCAGCATATGAAAATCAGTGCCAGTGTTTT